GGTACACGCTTGCATGTTTACTTAGTGAACTGAACAAATTGTTTACAAGAAATTTAGAACCGAAGAATCAATTTCCACCGCAAGAATGGGCGTTGATAAGTTTTTGTTACGTTGTTATGTGTACGAGAATTAATAATTGCACGTAATACATCAAGTTTTAGTAAAATATCAAAGTGTGAAGATTCGAGTAAAAAAAGCTCGGCACGGAACGTGTTAAGTGAGATTTTACAGCGTCATCATCGTTAACAGTTTTACCACGAAGGGAGTTGTCCAGGGATCGAAATAAGTGGTAATCCGATGGCGCGAGATCGGGGCTATATGGTGGGTGTAACATCAATTCCCAACCAATATCCATCAATTTTTGCCGAGTGGACAAAGACGTGTGCGGCCTAGCATTGTCCTGCTGGAAAATGACACCTTTACGATCGACCAATTCTGGTCGCTTTTCCTTGACCGCTGCGTTCAATTTGTCCAGTTGCTAACATTCACGGATAATAAAAAATAACATAATAATAATAATAATAATTTTATAATATAACATTTACGGATATCATACAAATGGAAGCGAAAGACATCTATAACTGAAATCGGCAATTACTTAGTTGCCAACCTAATAGTTCCTCCAACGGAAGCCTACGGAGGAGTTTGAACACCTTCGCTGCATTCTTCTGTAATCGTTGATTCTTCGGTGCTAGACCGTGTATAGAGTGTTCATCCTAACGGTAGCGCCGATTTTTTAAGCATTTACACTGATCTGGCAAAAAAATTTCGAATAAAAGTTGACGAGTGCTTCGAGGAGAGCAAAGAGTAATAATAAAAACTTCGAAAATTTTTGTATTCGATCGAAAGCTTAAATCACCTTGACTTTTTAAAATAGCGATGTATTTTTGATTTTGTAGCGTTATATCTGACAAAAAACGAATTCCACGACCGACTACATAATGACTTAAACCGTTTACAATCGTTTAGCTCGAACGAATCTCCGACTCTGAGGAGTTACGTGTACGTCTACCAACGCGTCGGAAAATTATTTTCTCAATTGCTGCGGAAATATTATTCCTCCGATAGTTAACTCAAGCATCATTAATTAGCAGACTAAAATATCATTAATTATCCCACTGACATAGCATTAATTAATTCACCGACATATCATTAATTAACTCACTGACAAAACTACGCCGCCACGTAAATTATACTTGCTGTTACCTAACACATTCCATGTAATAGGAAACTCTCGTGTATTACATTGGCACTAGATTTACGGAGTATAAAAAACAGCTGTTTTATATTTGTTTATAAAAGTAACAGTAAGACATTTATTCTGATTTTGAACAAGTGTTATTGCAACGTTTGCCGTAAGTAACATATAAATCGAATAAATAATTCATAAATGGATTTTCACGATATGAATAATCGTGAATTAAAAAATTAGTGACCCGTCATATTGACAGGTTCCGAAAATCTACTGTTAAATAAGTAAATAATAATAATAATAATAATAATATGTTATATGGTGTTTGTCGAATATTCTAATTGGTTTGTAGACGTGTTTGAAATCGTGTTAGTTCGAGGAGTAGGAAACTGTCAGTGGAAGCAGCGTCTTATTGTCTCGTGTTGTCAATCTCGTGATTTATTCGTGAAGTGTCTTTGTTTAGGTTTGTCGCACGTGTGATCTCCGTATGTTTGGATCGTGACTGCGATGGTCGTAAACGGTTTGACGGACCGCGTTGGCTGATCGCCTGTTGAGGCCTCGCTCAACGGACCATCAACGCGTCAACAGTAATTTTCTTCGCGACCGAATCCAGCGAAGGGAGAATTTGTAACGCTTTTTTTTGTAACACGTTGAGCGTTGCGGCGGTCAAATATGAGTGGCACTAATTTTTCCGATCAATTTTGAAAATTCGCTTTCATTGTAATAATATATTCGAACAAACTGAATTCGATTAGGATGTTTCGGATGCGAAAGAGTTCTTTCTGACCTCATCCAATATGATAAACCTTCTAGTTTCGGTTTAACGAATCGAATTGCTTGACTTTGTGGGAATTATTAGTGGTTGATTGTCGGCATTGGACGTGTTAACACTCTTACACCCGCACCACCCGTACGCGGATAACGAAATTATATAAAATTTAATTTCCATGCCGATCGATAAAAATGTCTTAATTTTATTAAGATTCGCAAGAGTGAAATAGTAATCGATGTCGTATAACATTGCTTCGCATGTTTAATTCAACTGATTAAAATACTTTAATTCTATGAAAGTTTGAGATGTCTTCGGCGCGGCCGTCGAAGCATTAACGAGCATTTCTTTTACTTAGCTCGGAAAAGTTCCCGGTCATTTTCCTGATCGGGAAACTGTAAAATTGGCTGTCCATTGTTGACATTGAACAGATTAAAAAGCGGACGAAGAAAGTCGTCGGACAGTTTGATGAAAAGTTTCATTGCTTCCGGATTGCGCCCGGCGCAAGACGTTTGTTTCCGTCGGGAGAAAGCTCGGGGTAAACACCGGTTGGCCGGTTTCGGTGACTAACTCTAGCACGCGGGTTCTATTCGCGGCGAGAAAAAGGCTACTTGGCAAGCGTGCGGTCAGCGAATTTAGATTCGCCGCGAACCGTTGACCGTTACGCAATGTCGAGGAGGAAATCACGGTGGCGACCGACCACGCAGGGAAAGAACGAACTGGCAGTTGGCTTTCTCGACAATCGCGGCACCGCGCCGCGCCGTTAATAAGCTCCCGAACGCGTGGAACCGAGCGTCTCCGTTTCGCTCGCGCGATCGGACCTTGCCAATCAGGCTGCACCGAAGTACAATTTTCAATAAAAGCTCGTGGGAACTACTGGGAGGAAGTACGAAGCAGTTGCTTAAAAATCTCTTAACTTTGTAATATGATAACCTATAACTTAATATATAGTAGCCTAATAATATATAATAATATATTATTAGGTAATATATAATTATATATTATATAATAATATATTATTATTATAATATATAATAACCTATAATGATCTAATAACTTAATATAATAACCCTTGTCCTATAATATCGTGCCAGACTCGTTAAAGAGACTTCAAACATAATCTATTTTTGAATGTTACGTTCTGATTCTACATTCCGACCAAATTCTACTCTTCTATTGCCAATATTTAAACGTCAGTTTAAAGATTAGCACAGAATAAATGTAAATTTTATCTACGTATAATAATTTATAACAATAATAATATTTGATAAAATATTATTATTGTTATAAATTATTATAAAGTCACTATAAACGTCAATTTAAAGATTAGCAAAGAATAAATGTAAATTTTATCTACGTGTAATAATTTATAACAATAATAATATTTGATAATAATATTTTTTCGATCTACGGGAGAAAGTCGCTATGTCACAATAGTATGACAATTGTGTTGCTTAATTAGCATATCAACGACAACATGTCCAGGGAAGAAATTTATTAGAAATTTATAATTTATTGACGCTAATTAACGTAGCTGCGAAAGAGATCGTAGTGCAAGAGATTAAGAATCGGAGACGAATAATCGAAGGTTTCTTAATAAGACAATAGTTTCATTTGTAAACCGGTGCATCCGTTCTTCTAATTTCGTTAATTTCCGACCGCTGTGGGTTCCATGGCGCTTCAGATTCCCATGGTTTTTTTTTGCCGCGGCAGTTATGGGGACGCGTTCGGCGCAAATAACCGAACCCGTAAAGTTCCAGAGCAGCCACCTGCTTAGCGTTCGTCTCGCATGTCGCTCGTTTTCTTCGTTGTATCTTTTTACGAGCATTCTTTGATGGGGAGCGGAGCCTGACGCCTTCTCGCGTTTCGAGAACCACGTGTTTTCCACCCTTTTTCGAAGAAACGCTTTCTTATTCAGGCACAGTGGCGCGCCGTGATCCAGAAACCCGGAAATAGCGGCGAAACTCGGAATGCTTTCCACGTTTTTTAAATAATTTCACTCGCGCCGTTTCCATGAAACTGCCGCGAAATAAAATATTGCGAATTTATCGTACACCCGGTCTTTGAACATTTCCTTCAAAAATGTATTCCCTTAAGGGCTGGTTCCCGTTGTAAGATTTTTTAGGATCCTTTTATAACAAGAGTAAATGATAGATTATATAATTTTTAGATGTAAAATAATAATAAAATTATGTAATTTTCTAGTTTACCTAAGTATTGAGAATGAACGGGTTAAGAATGAACCACATTCTATGGGGGTTGTTGAAAAATTCTGTTTTTTGAACGGGATGTTTAATTAAACTCGACTGTAAATCCGAAACCGATAAATCAAATATATTCTTAAACTGCATGATATTTCCGATTGCGAGACATTGATCCCGTAAAAATATACAAAAATTCGTTTCCTAATTATTTTATATACAATATTATAGTAGGAATAGTGCATATATATATGCAATGTTCCTACTATAATATTGTATATAAAATAATAATATATATACTTTGGTGGGACAAGTATCTGGAAAACTGATTGATCAATTTAAGTGAATTTTTGTTGAAGTTAAATAATATACAATATTATAGTATATTATTTAATAATATACAATATTATAGTACATTATTTAATAATATACAATATTATAGTACATTATTTAATAATATACAATATTATAGTACATTATTTAACTTCAACAAAAATTCACTTAAATTGATCAATCAGTTTTCGAGACACTTGTCCCACCAAAGTAACGCGTTTAAAGTTTCACGTGACGAAAAGAACCCGTGCGGCACCTGCCACCTAAAGACCTTTGGTAATTTTTAAAGTTTAAAAGATTTCCTCTCAGCTACATATTCTTGAAGCATCGTAGAAAGTGAAGAACGAAAGAAAACGATCGATCTGTCTCAAAAAGTCTTAGACCGAAACTACCGCTTAAGGAACATGAAAATTTAATAACTGACTGTATCTAATCGTCTTTAATAAGGGAAGATTGCTCTGCACTTCGTCATTTTGCTCTTACTGTGAAATTAATGCAAGAGTAAAACGACTAATTTGTCGTATTCTTACTTTGAGAGCGAACTGGGTATTTCTTTTCGGGATCGAGGTTCTCGACCGAATCGCGTCGGCATTTCTCTTCGTTTTGATCGACGAACTGCAACTGCATCGACGATGGTTGCAGCCTGGACGCGAGGAGCGGGAACGTCTCGTCAGCGATTCACTGGGCAGTCAGCGACGATCTGGGAAAGAGAACGTACTTCCAGATCGGCGACGGGCAAAGGGCGAAACTGAAGATCACGAAAGTGAACTACAAGGACCAAGGGATCTTCAGGTGCCGGGTAGATTTCATCGATTCCCCGACGAGGAACTTCCGAGTGAATCTCACGCTCGTCGGTGGGTACATCTTTTCCCGGATTCTACGTAGTAACGGCGCGGTGTAAGTGGACCGTTATCTCTCGAAATATCGCGGGGACGAAAAAACTTTTCGCATGAAAGTTACATGCCACCGGGGGAGTGCAAAGTTTTTGGCCCGGACGAATTTCTCCGGGCGTTATTAATACAGGAGATTAATTCAAGCTTCTTATTCTGACGAGAACATTGTCCGACCTCTAATTTTGGTGAAACTTTGTTTGTAGAAGCGCCGGATATGGGGGTCGCCCCCTTTTTTATCGGTAGCAGAGGCTCGAGTTTAAGGGTTGAAAGCCGCTGAAAATTGCCGCCTCTGCTATCTTAAGAGCCGTTAAAGATTAAAGCACAATTTGCCCAAGTTGTCCGATTCTTTTCGGCGAGATTATTTCCGTGGAAATTACAAGCTCTCGGAGAAACGGATGGGCCAACTACTGTCTTAAATTCTAAAATCGCATCGATCGGACAGCCTTATCGCATAGTTCGTTACAGCGTTGGGCAGTCGTAGATTATTTTGTGATTATAGTAAAGTCTTCCTAATTGACGTTCAGCTTGGAAGTAAAAATAAATGATTTGGGAGGAGGAGATACGATTATTCGAGCCTTGCGGCTCGTTTTTATAGTTATCGATTGTCAACAACTATAAAAATGAACCGCATTGCTCGAATAATCGTATCTTCTCTTCCCAAATTGTCTATTTTTGTGTACAATCTGAGCGCCAATTAAGGAGAATTTACTGTACTTTTGTAATTGAAAATGGTAAGATGTCTAAATAAATTCGGTCTTGTAATTCTCTTAAAATAACAATGTTAGACGTTTTTAGTGCTCGGCAAGTTTAGTGTTAATCAATAATTAATCGTTGCTAGAACAAATCAGTAATCATGGTTACCTTTTGGGAATCTGTAATCGCGAACGAATAATTATTTTATCTTCTCTCACCACTTGCTATCTATTGAGTCATGAAACACGTGCAGATTTTCTAGAAACTATTCAGAATTTTTGTTAACCACCATGGTGCCAAATGTTTTCGTTAATCATAATAGAACAAAGTAATCATTACATGATTAACATGTTCCGTGTCATGTGTTACACTGATGGTACATGCTTACATGTTTATTTAATGCGGCAGAGAAATATTTTATAGCAGGTTTGGGATCGAAGAATTGATTTCCATCCAAAAGACTATGTCATAATAAGCTTGTTTCATTATTTATATGTACAATCATTAATAATCACATATAATATATCTTGCAGTCTTGTAAAACCTGCTCGGCACGGAACGTGTTAATGATTATTGTGTTCATCAGGACCAACGATCACATTTGCTTTGATCATTCAAGTTATACATTAATCATGATTACCTGATTACTTGATAATCGTAACCATTAATCACGGACGAGATTTCACGCCAGTCGCAAGCGTTAATCGTTAATCAGATTACTTTTTGCCCAACTCTGCTTCACGAGAGACGACGATCCGTTTGCCCACGTTCGCCGACACACAATAAATGTCTAACCCTCGAGGACTGAAAGAAACGCGAATGGAATTTGCTACCGGTTCTTCTTACAGAGAAGCCATCCATGCCTGTGATATACGACGCGCAAGGCCACGATGTGACAGGAGTGGCTGGGCCTTTTCTTGAGGGCTACAGTCTAGCATTAATCTGCCAGGTGTCCGGAGGTAAATCAACTCTGTCCACTGGCGACGCGGTAGGATGGTGGAGCCGGTTACCGAGGGGTGACCAATTGCTGTGCCTTTGGTTTGCTTTCGAGTATAATTGACTTTATATATATTCATCGAATAAGTAGAATTAAATTCCTTTTTTATTCTTTTATTTTTTCCCAACAAAAATTCTTTTATCATTTCCGAATGAAAAATTTTAATACGTCTTATTCGATAAATACAAAGTTAATTTCGCCCGAAAACAAACCAAAGGCACAGCAATTCTGCCGTTCTTAGTTAAAACGTCTTATCCACCAATTCACCACTTTTCAGGATACTTTCAAATATTTCGAACATCACGTGCCTCTTACCTTTCAACCCCTTATCGTACCTTGACGAGTCCAACTCGCGACGAAAATTTCTAGTAATTATTTATTAAGTATGGATGTTCTTCTGTTCTATAAAATTAGAATAAAATTCGAATCTCTGGTCATTAATATTGAAGCATTCGAGTAAGTTTAGGCACACGGTAAACATCAATATTGTTTCCCTTTCTAAAAAAAAATTATTTCAATCGAAAAATTTCGAATAAACTGTACTTTCTAAAAAATGTATTTCTAAAAAGCTTCGTGGCGCGTCAAGGGTTTGAACAAAGTTACAATATTCTATTATACTTCACGGTGTACCAAATTCCATTTATTTGCTCTCGCTTAAAATAAATTTTCGTTTAAAAATGATTTTATTAAATCGAAGCTTCATTCTTTGAATGATCAGAAACGTTAGGACGATTTAACTAAGGAGGGCAGAAATTGGTCGTCCCACGGTTCCTCTACCTTACCTTTCGAAAAGGATTTTTCTGTTTCCACGAGACGAATCGTTGTATTTCAGGGAGGCCAAAGCCGGCGGTGACGTGGTGGAAGGACGGCGAGCTCTTGGACAGCGTGGTCGACACGATGGTCGGTATGCCGCGGAAGTTCACGTCGAACCACCTCTTCATCGACAAAGTGACGCGGTCGTTGCGGGGCACGAAGCTGGTGTGTAAGGCGCAATCGGCTCCCATGGCCGCGCCGATTGTGCGGGAAGTTCCCTTGGACATTTACCGTAAGTACCATGCGATCGTCGGCTGTCGTCGTTGGTTATCGACGTTACGGTCCCACGGCGACGCGACGCCGAGGCGTCGCAGTAGCGAGAGGCCAGAGGGAGAGAGAAAGAGAGAGAGAGAGAGAGAGAGAGAGAGAGAGAGGAGGGACGAGGACCGCGGGCCGACGACGCGTTTCAAAAAAGGGTACCGCGACCGATCGTAACATCTGTTGGAAATAAAATAGAACGAGTGCGCGCGCTCCTCAAGGTCGCTTCTTTGAATTTTAACGCGTGCTAAAAGCGATCGCGAACCACGAGCCACGAGTTAAGGAACGACGGCGCTACGATTCGACGCGCGCACGTGCTTCGCTCGTTTTATTGCAGCCCTGTCGATAGAACGGTAGCGAATGCCGTCGTAAGAGCCCCGCGACGTTACGCAACCGATTGCTGTTATCTGTCGCGGATGCCCGCTGTCTCCGATCGAGCCTTCCGGCGCGTCGCGACGGCACAAAAGCTCCGGACGCCTTCCGAACGGAAGGAAATATCCTTCTCGCTCGGCCCGATATGTCCTGTCGCATGTCGTTTCGTCGGCCGGGAGAAAGAAATTTAAATATAGCCGGAGCGAGTGACCCGCGGCGGAAGCCAGATGAATTCCAACGATTTCGCCAGGACCTCCTTAACTCCTTTGACGGTCGGATTTCGTGGAATCGTCGTCGCATGTAAAAATACGCGGCTCCCTCGGCACTTGTTATTTTCGCCACCGCAAAACCGCCCGATTACGAGACCCGAGCCGCTAACGCGCCTTTTTCGCGCGATCCCCGAGTTCAGGCGGCACTCCGTACAACTGTCTGCGCTCTTGCAAGATGCCTTATGTCAGATCTCGTGCCCGCCGTCGAAAGGAATATTGAAATGCTGCGCGGGGATCGGGTCGACGGAACTCGAGCGATCCAAGAACGATCACAGTTTTGAAGCTTTTATGGACCAGCAGCGCGTAGTTCTTACTGTCGAGACTTTCGGGTATAAGCAGTGTCCTTGTGCAATCTATTTATTTATTTATTCGGTGACTGCAGTGGAAAAATCCTTTGTTGTATACGATAAAGAAGTGGAAGTTATTAAAAGAATTAATTGACCTGGTCTAAGAGCCAGTACTGAAGACTATGACTAAGACTTCTGAATGAGGTGAAAGCACTATTAACCCTTTGCACTCGAATGGCGAGTCTGAGATGCCGCTGAAAATTGCTATATAATATATATTATATATAACAATATATAATTAGCTATATATATTTAATAAACTTGTTTATATTCAAAGAATTGTTAAAAGTGCGATTATTGTACGAGTGAGTAAACTGACTTTCATATGCAAACAATACAAAAATAATACAACATTGGAAGAAATATCTTTGTCTTGAAGTTAAAACAGCTTCGAGTGCAAAGGGTCAAAGAAGACTAGTGCCTCTCAAAGAAGGTAACAGTTTAAAAATTAGCGATTTAAGCAATTGAAACGATCGTAAAGAAGGCGACATGATTCGGGAATTTGTCTTCTAGCATTTTGCAAGTATTGCAAAAGCATTGCTTTTTCGGGAGACCGGAAGACACACTGATAATGGTGGTGTGCCACTTAATATTGCAGTGGAGCCTGTTTCGGAGATAATGGAACACTCTAACATCATTAACAGGAATAAAGAATACCACATGAATCCAACCCAGAAGTTTCCCTCCTCTCAACTTTCTAATTATTCAGTTGATCAATTAAAATAGTCTTTCCGATTGGTTCGCAATGAACCGGAACACGAACAGGCACCGCTATATTAATCTTTTAGGCACGACGCGCCACTATAGTGGCTTGCTCTAGTATCTCACTCGCTCATCGTTTGAATCAAATAATCGTCTTCATATGCATTGTTTCACACTTCTTTTGTCTTCGCATCGATTTACAACAGTCTACAGGGTGTCCCAAAAATGTCTCGCAATCCAGAAATAGCGGGTTCCACGGATCATTTGAAGCAACTTCTTCCTTTACAAAAATGTTCTCCGAGGCACCGTTAACGAGTTATTAACGAAAAACAGTGACCAATAAGAATCGAGTACGGCTGACGCAAGGCGGCCCAGCCAACCAGCGCGCGAAGTCCAGTTCCACACATTGGCTCGATCGCCTCGCGCCAGCTGAGCTCGCCTCTCATTGGTCACTGTTTTTCGTTGATAACTCGTTAACGGTGCCTCGGAGAAAATTTTTGTAAAGGAAAAAGTTGCTTCAAGTGGCCTGAGGAACCCGCCACTTTCGGATTGCGAGACATTTTTGGGACACCCTGTATATACAGTATCAGACTCTGTACAGTACACATCAGACTCTGCTGTCTAGAGAAATAGCCTCGCGCAGAATTCAGCCGTACCTAAAAGGTTAAGTGGGACCCCGATGAAGCTAGCTGCATGGAAAACCTCGATGGTAAGAACGATCATGCTTTTTTGTGTGTTACAGTGAAACCGGCGGTCGTCAAGATCATCTTCACCGACGATCAGATTTACGCGGGCCGACCCTTCGCGGCGCGCTGCGAGTCCTGGGGAAGCTCACCGGCGGCGAGGATCGTGTGGAGGTTAGGGGAGCAAGTGATAGGGGAGCCGAACGTGTCGACCACGCAGAGGAGCAACTCCACGGTCAGCAAGCTGGCTCTGGCCCTCGACAAGAACGACGACGGCAAGAAATTAACCTGCAGAGCCGAAAATCCCAGATTTCCCGGCGGAAACCTCGAGCAAACTAAAGTCCTGAACGTCGCCTGTGAGTACTCCGAATCCCGCATATCCCCCCTCCCCTCAGCATTCGATCGTCACCGTCCCGACGAGAGACACGACGCCACTCTCTGCGAGAGAGAATACATCTCTCGTCTGTCTTCGATTGTTCTATGCAGATAACCCGGTCGTCGCCGTTCACCTAGCTACCGGCTACACCATGGAGTCTTTAAGGGAAGGCGATGATCTGAAGTTGGTCTGCGACGTGCAGAGCAACCCTCTTCCCACCAAAGTCATTTGGTACCATAACGTAAGTAGAATGGTCCTGACGTCCTTCGGGACTGTAACCGAAGTTCGAACTTTGCGACGGGAGTTGTATATGCAGATGAGACTTCAGAACCTTGGGACAACTTTCGTTGTCAAACGACGTATGCCACCAATCATTTTTAGTACTGTCGCCAGCTTTTAGCGTACAGCGTGTAGAAGAAAATGCGTCGATCATGCGAGATGAGATAATAATCAATCTAAACTATCCTCGCCGACTGACAACACAGTTGTCTTTGTCCTAATCCTTAATAAACACGACACACGTCAGAAATAATGCCGGGGACTCGCTCTTACATCTCGGCCATTTCTGACACTGTGGTCGTCCTCGGCCATGGTGCGATGATCCTCACTGATCCAAAGTTCCAAATAATCAAATCTAAATTGTCTAAACGCGTTCAAGACAAGCGGGCCATAGTCCCAGTTCTGAAATTTGTAGGAGAAAACGAGTTGACCGATCGGATAGATCGGAGATCAGGGATTCGAACCCGGATGATCTTCTCTTGCTTGCCGGGTGACCGCTTTAACCAATCGAGCTATCCCGGCCGACCGACGATGCATACTCTTCTAGCGCTAATAAACCCAAACTCGTCAGAAATATGCCGACTCCTACAAACGTTTAGTAAAATTCGATCGGACAAAATTCGCCGTGACACTCCCACTGTACGGGGTGCCGCGCCGAAAATGCGCACATAACGCAGGGTCGGTCCACTTTTGTACGAAGATTTTCTTAAGCGTTAAGTAATGACTGTGCTTAATCCGTTTCTAAATCTTTTGTTTCCTGTAAACATTCAGTAAAGGGCCTACAATATGTTAAAATCTATGAACAAGTTTCGAAGAAAAATGTAACCTGACATTTTTTAAATCAATTCAGATCAAACGACAATTATACCTGTAGCAGTTTTTTCGGAATCCTTGTAAGAAAAGACTTTATCCGTTTGAGTCCCAGGGATTATTCAGAAAACACGGTCGAAAAATGACAAACGGCGCGATAGCGCTGCTTGGGACTCAAACGGTTATTAGAATAGTTTCTAATATGTCAGAAATATGGCTTACATGGATGCCAGATGTATTCGACACTCGCCAATATTGGTCATCAGATGGATGCCGTATATATCCGTATATGCTGTATATATCGGCCACACAGGTGACCAGATGGATGCCGGATATATCCGGCACTCGTACCGAAAGGGTTAAAGCTCGCGGTTCTCGTTGCAGGAGAAGCGATTGGAGCACGACGTGTCCGGCGGGACTCTGATCGCCTCGAACGCGTTGACTTTGAGGCTGTTGACTCTGGCTCACGGCGGCGAGTACACCTGCGAGGCGGTGAATCTTGTTGGAATGGGTCGCAGCCAGCCTCTCTTCGTCCACATGAAATGTGAGTTTGGTTCTCTCGAAGCGCGATCACCGATAAGGGACATCTCCGAACTCGAATGCCGCGGCATCGATCAGCGCACAGAAATCCGACGGTGCGGAGACCGACGAATTAGAAACCGGGAGTCGGGCGATGTCTCTCGGAGTCCCTTGGAGTAATTCGAGGTCCTGACGAAATTCTTGTTCTTTCGAAAGACGCGCCCAGGTGCAGAGTGGGTTACGAGCGTCGCGAGATCGCGGCGGGTCGTCGCGAGACGGTGTCGTTGCGCTGCGAGGTCGACGCGATCCCGACGGACGACGTGAGGTTCTCGTGGATGTTCAACGCGACGCGCGGCGACGTGTCGCCGGTGCTGAACTCCAGAGCTCGGAATAACGGGCTCGTTAGCGTTCTGGAGTACACTCCTACCGCTGACACCGACTTTGGAACCCTCGCCTGCTGGGCAAGCAACAGCGTCGGCAGACAAAGGACGCCTTGTGTATTCAACATCGTGCCGGGCAGTACGTATCTTTGGAATCTTGAAACTAGAACGAGACCCGGGACCATCCATTCGTGCGCCCATTACTCGAGTCGCGTGCAAACCCCGTCGTTCGTTCTGCGGTCCATCGGATCTCCACAAATATTGGGCACCGGCTTCCCAAGGTCGCGCGAAGGTCACTCTTTGTTCCGACGCGTTGGGAGACGCTTGTTAGACGTCGTGCGACACTTCGGAGGTTGTTTGTCCCATGAATCGAATCGACGTTTTCGAACCATCGGAAATAAGACGATACGAGGTGAAACAGAAGTTTATGAATTCAGTTGCCGATCTATGTATTTGCCTCCCATAACATGAATCAGCATTTTTCAACCGGTTCGAGATCGAAAGTCGATACGTGGCCAAAACGTTAGAATGTACGTCTAAATGAACTAAAATTTGGTACGGTAAATTCTCCCTAATTGACCCTCTGGTTGTACGCAGAAATTGACAATTTGGGAAAGAGGAGATACGATTATTCGAGCCTCGCGGCTCATTTTTATGATTGTTGACAATCGGCAACTCTAAAAATGAGGCTCGCGAGGCTCGAATGATCGTATCTTCACTTCCCAAATTGTCCATTTTTGTGCACAAGTTGAGGATCAATTACGAAGAATTTACTGTACTTCTCGGTTTTTCGAGTCAATGAAGTCAATGAAATCCGATACCAGGATTACTACAAATTATATGTCGGATTTGGTGTAAACAAATATCATAAATTCTATAAAATGGATTAACATGTAATAATAACAGTAATAACTGTTTATTAATAAGCAGTAATTCATTTATTTGTTAATACAAACGCAACATGTTCTGTGCCGAGCTGTTTTTACTGGGCTCAGATCACTTGATGTTATGACTTTACTTTGACTTTTGTTTTGACTTTGATTTGACTTTGATTTTGATTTATTTGTTTGATTATTTATTTATTTTTTATATTATATGTAATTATTAATTATTGTATATGTAACAATGAAACAAACTTATGATGCTGTGCTTTATACTACGTTTTTGATAAGGCCTCATTCTTTCGGTGGAAATATGTTCTTCAGTCCTAAACTTGTTATAGAATATCTTTTCAGCGCATTAAATAAACATGTGAGCGTGTATCATGTAGCAGCGAACGTGTTAAATGATTAAGAAACGAAGGATATCCGGTGAACAGGATGAGAAAATAAATTTCACCCGACCTTTTTGGCGTACCATTAATCATATTTAAAGATCAAGCGATAAGATTAATTTATTAATTTTTTCTTGGACGATCGAATTATGTAATCTAATCCATCTCCTGCATTTATCTACACTCAAATGAATATAAATCATCCATTAAACATTAAAAAAGAATATTAATAAATAGACTGCAGATTTTATGCGATTATGACAAAAATTAATAGATCGAGTACAAAACAATGAAAACATTCAAACAATTTAAAACTACGGTTGCATTTGTTTTCTTATTTCGAGCAATTTTAATCTCACTTGAAATTATTTTGCATTAAATCGTGTGTACAAAAAATGTTGTCGAGAAATTACATATTTTTATAATATCTCAGAGAGATAATTCGCAGCTTTTTAGGAACGAGTGGATTTCCAAACCATTAAAATAATTAAAGAACAAAATCAACGTTTACACAGCTCCTGTACCTTGTAATTGGTGTAGACTATTTCTTCATTTTACATAAAAATTTGCAGTCTATTGAATGCAATACGGTCCGGGCTATTTGCGCGAGAACTTTTGCATATTTTGGCCAGTATATTTTAAGGTTGTTGCATCGCTTTACAAAAATGGATACGATTTATAAAATATCAGACAGTCGAATTAAATGATATTAAATTGGATTATTTATTTTAAATTGCATTTCACGAGCAATCAAGAAAATTACTATTTTCAATCATCCGGACGGTAATCTGTTAAAAGGCTCATTGCTACGGCAGAAAATTCGTTTGTGGTATTTGGTCACGTATCGTCGATTCGGAACCACTGTGCACCAACTAGAGAAACGGAAGACTGTTAAAAATGAGTTTAGTTGTCGAAAGTAAATGCTAGTTTAACCTCTTAGGCACGACGCGCCACTATAGTGGCTTTCGCGGATATCATCTCTCTGAACGACGCGCCACTATACCGGGTGTCCCAAAAATGTCTCGCAATCCGGAAATGGCGGGTTCCTCGGATCATTTGAAGCAGCTTCTTCCTTTACAAAAATGTTCTCCGAAGCACCGTTAACGAGTTATTAACGAAAAACAGTGACCAATAAGAATCGAGTACGGCTGACTCGAGGCGGCCCAAACAACCAGCGCACGAAGCCCAGTTCCGCTCATTGGCTCGGTCGCCTCGCGCCAGCCGAGCTCGCCTCTCATTGGTCACTGTTTTTCGTTAATAACTCGTTAACGGCGCCTTGTAGAAAATTTTTGTAAAGGAAAAAGTTGCTTCAAATGACCCGAAGAACCCGCCACTTTCGGATTGCGAGACATTTTTAGGACACCCTGCAGTGGCTCACTCTAGAGTAGCTCACTCGCTCTCCGTTTGAATGAAACAATCATCTTCCTATGCATTGTTTCACATTTATTTTGTCTTCACATCGATTTATAACAGTGTTAACAATATAAAGACGGAATACACACAGTATCAGACTCTGTACAGTACATATCAGAATCTGCCGTCCAGGGAAATAGCCTCGCGCAGAATTCAGAAAGTATTCCTAAAAGGTTAACCAAGATAGTCGTGAAATAAAAGCTCGCGAAAGTTGCTCCTTAACCCTCGCGAACCCATAGCACCGTCGAAAGATCCTTTTCGCCGGCCGCCGTTTCCAAGCGAATAAACGTTGGTATTCTCGCAGAGACACCGCAGCCGCCGTTCGACTGCTCCCTGCAGAACGAGACCAGCTCGTTGCAAGTGAATTGTGTCCCTGGCGCGGACGGTGGTTCGCCGCAGTACTTTTTGTTGGAAGTTCGCGGCGGTCCGCGGGACCCGAGCGTCGTCCAGGTGAACACGGCCACGCTGCAGAAGCCCCAAAGCGACCAGGGCACGGTCGGCGAGTCGCCAGCCCTCTACCAAGAAAAGAACATGCGACCCAATTTTCAACTGCACGACCTAGAGCCGGGGTTCGACTATACCCTCTACGTGTACGCGGTGAACGGTCGCGGAAGAAGCGAACCGGCGTTGCTGAGACACGTCAGGGTGACCGACTCGGTCGGAGGAAAATTGGAGAGGACCGGGACCGGGATCTTTCTCGAGGACCTGAAGAAGGCGCTGCCGAGTGCCAGCTCCGAGAATCTGATCATCGTGGTCGCCTTGGCGGGGACAGGTACAGTAAATTCTTCTTAATTGACGCGCACGAAAATGGACTATTTGGGAAGAGAGAAGTTACAATTGTTCGAGCTTTGCTGCTCGTTTTTATAGTTATCATCGATTATCGATAACTGTAGAAACTAAATTATATTATATTATATATATATTAAATTATATTATTAGTCGATAACTAAATTGTCCATTTTTACTCTAATTTTCTAAATGTATCTTTTTAATTTACTCCAATCTTTTTTTTCTTGATTCATCGTTGTGCACCGCATGCCAGAGCTCGGCGAACAATTAATATAACCAATTAAGTTAACCCGTCTTCATCATTTCTCTGGTAGGACAAGACAATTTTAATTTCTTCTATGTTTCCATTTACTGCGATTACTAAACTTTTATAACAGACGAAGCAAATTTTGTTTCGATTTGCAAGAAATGATTAGTAAGTATTCATACTTAGTTGACCAGATACGAAATGTTTACAACGTGTATGACTCGTTGTTATAGTGTAAGGGGTTAATAGACTTTTCAATGTGTCTAACAATAAAAATAATAATTCGAATAAAACTTGTTAGATTATATTAAACTAAATAATTGAATTAATTCGGACAG